AACAATATTCTTATTTTTATTAATATATATTTACAAATTTAAAGCTGTGCTAACTTTCTTCGGACGTCCTCTTGTTTTTCGTTTACCTAATGGTTGAATACGTGTTTTGTTGCTGACTTGATGCATGTTAAATATAATTGCTAAACCAACAGAATATTTACATGAATACTCTTTAATGCCAACAGGACAGCTACATAATTGTAATGGTACAACTAACTTTATGGATGCCCTTTAATGAAATAGAAGTGCATGACGAACAAACAAGAGATGATGAAAAATCACACCTCTCTATAAAATTTGGTGATCAAAAGTATCTTTTTTTGGTGATCAAAAATACAATTACTGCTCATTGCTGTTCGCATATTGATATCAGCATATTTTCGATATAAAACTCAATGTTTTGTGTCTTGTTGCCGTGCATTATTCATTATGTAACGAATTATAGTGAAACATATATACATTTAAGAATTATAAAAAATAAAATCAATAGGCCGTGTGTGGGTGTGTGTGCAAAGTTTAGATCTTTTGTAAAAGACACACTTGGTAAGTCAAAAAATCGATCACGACATGTCTTAGTCAATAATGCAATAGATTAGCAAAATATTTGTTGGTTTTATACTATTCTAAAACAATCTATTTCAAAAATGATTAGTATTTTTCACAATAACATATATATGATAGTGAAAGTCGTTTATGTCACTATTTATATGATCAATAAATTATGAAATGTAAAGAAATAAATGAATATGTAAAAAGTTTTTGATTTGAGAATCGTAAAGAAATTGAAACTTTGAAAAAAAAGTTTTATGAAAATTGAGCAACATTGTTGTCTAACGGATGCTACATGGAATAGATAACTATTAAATGAACAGCGAACGCTCGAAAAAAATTATGATTATTTCGATTTTCTTGCTCGCTATTATCAAATGATATGTCTTCATTTGCCTAAAGATGATCAATGACAATTATTATGAACATCGATATATAGTAGGCAATATTTTTAAATACTACACACTCATTCAACTTATTTTAATTTGAGTTTTCAATGAATTCATCTACATCATCAAGCACATATATCATTCGTTTATGATAAATAATGTGCATTGGTTTTTATTATGTTTGATGTTAAAAAGACCTACTCCACCGCAGTTATTTTGTTTCAACAAGTACTGATAAACATAAAATTTCAATTTTTGGTAAAAAAAACAATTTCAACAGTAAATTATATGACAATGCACTCGATACTATATTAAAAAATTGATACCACCAAATTCTGTGAATTATCCCGGAACAGAGAAGAAATTTAATGAGTTAAGTTTAAACATTTTTCAAGAGTCTATATTATTTTAGATCGAACGAATTCAAAGCTATTCTTCATCTTTATCTTACACACATATATGCCGCAACTATTTCGTAAGTTTTTATCGGAAAGTGAAAGCGTCGCGGAATAGTTCAATATAATCATTTGGCCAGTAAACAGTTTTTTATGTTGAAACTCTCATTCGAGTACTTGACGACACACCAATTTCATCCAATATTCAATGTAATAATCTCAGTATGAAGGATACATTATTTGTCATTGAACCGTTAGATCTGCATTTGAAAGTAAACAATTCGATCGATATTATCAATATGAAATTTGATGAAAAACTAACTATTTTAATAGACTTATAATAAAAAGAATATATAGGTTTACATTAGTTAAACAGCAAACTATGATTTTGTCTGAAGTATCATTTTCTTCTTTTTTCTACATGTGTACATGCAAGCTACCTGCTTGCTTAGCAACATTATCATTAGTTTTGTAGTAGTCTTAGTATCAGTAAATAAAAACAAGATATGAGTTATTATTGTCGATAACTTGACGTTGCGTCCATTTGATGTCATACGCTTTTTTCATCGACTTCATTCTTTTGTTATGAGAGAAAAAAGAGTAGTTTGACACATCACATAAACAAAAAAGATGGGATGTAGAAACGATAAACAGCAAAGAGATTATGTTGGCGATAAAAGTTTTAATACCATTACACCACCTAATGATGATTCACCTAAACCTCCACCTCAAATTATAAAAGATGATCCAAAAAATAATGATATATTAAATCGAAATTCAGCTTTCGCTGATAATTTTATTAATATTGAAGTTGCTGATCCGGCAGCTTTTAATGACCATTTTATTCAACAACGTCGGCAAGCAATAAAGAATAATTCATATCGATCAACAATTGAATCATGGCAACCAGATTCCCTTCAACAACTCACTCATTTCATTAAAGAATTATCTAACGGTAAATCAATAATTGATCGTCATTGGATTATTTTCTATTGGATTACATTTAATATTGAATATGATACTGTAGCATATTTTGCAAAAGATTATAAAGATCAAACAGCAGAAGGAGTATTTCGAACACGAAAAGGTGTATGTGCTGGTTATGCTAATCTGTATAAATATCTATGTGATCAATTAGAAATGCCATGTGAAAAAGTCAGTGGCTATTCAAAAGGTTATGGATTTGATGATCGAGAAGATGCACCCACTGAAACTGATCATGCATGGAATGCTGTTGAGATTTATCATCATTGGTATTTAATGGAATCAACATGGGGTGCTGGGCACTTAGACGAAAAAAAAGAGTTTCAACGTAAATTATCATCGTATTATTTTCTTCCTCGTCCAAATGAAATGATTTACCATCATTTACCTGAAAATGAAAAATGGCAACTATTACAAACTCCAATAAAAATGACACAATATTTACAAATGCCCCATCTTCGTCCAGAGTATTTTGAATTTAAACTTGAAACGATTCAGCCTCGACATCGATGTTTTGTTAATCTTGAACATGGTGAACCATTTGCCTTAGTTATTATGAAAGCACCAGCTAATGTATGCCTTATAGCTAATTTAAAATTACACGATGAAAAAATCGAAGGTGGTCATCAAGTTATTTTTGATAAGAGAAAAAGACTTTACTATTGTTATTTTGCTCCACAGAATATTGGTAATCATAAAATTATGATTTATGCAAAGCGTAATAATACAGATAGTGATACATTTGAATCTGTACTTGATTTAACATTGGATATAAAACAAATACCTAAAAGTCCAATAAGTTATCCAAAAACTTGGTCAATTTTTTTTGATTATGGATTAAAAATACTTTCTCCATTAAAAACACATTTAATTAATCTTAATAATAGTGAAAAATACGCAGAAATACTTATAAAAGCACCATCTGATATTGAATTAATAGGTCAACTTATGAGTCATAATGAAGAAAAAATTGTTTATGCCGATCAAGTTTATTATGATCATGAAAAAATACGTTGGAGATGTCGATTTGCTCCAAATAAATCTGGAACTTTTAATGCTCTTATTCTTGCTAAGAAAAAATCAGATTCGAAAAGCTTTACTTCTGCTGTTCAATTTAAAATTAATGCAAATCGAATTTCATCACCACCATTAACATTTCCAATTACTTGGTCAACATTTTATGATCTTGGCCTTAAAATACTTTCTCCAATTGATCAAGGTATTATTGTATTAAGCAATAAAGCACCATATGCTGAAATTCGCATACAAACTACAAAGGATGTTGATTTAGTCAGTCAATTACAAAATGATAAAAAAGAAAAAATATCTGGTGAAAGTCAAATTTATTATGATAATATAAAAAATTATTGGCGCTGTAAATTTACACCTAATCAAAAAGGAGTTTATGATGCTCTTATACTTGCTAAAAAAAAATCGGATTCAGAAAGTTTTATTTCTGCTGTATCATTTCAAATCGTCGTCAAGCGGCATTCATTTCAACAAAAATCTTTACCAAATACTACACAACTTTTTCATGATCTTAATCTTGAAATATTACCTCCAAATGATTGTTATAAAATTATTTTATCTGAACAATCTTCATTTGTTGAAATATGTTTAAAAGCGCCAAATGACGTCGAACTTATTGGCCGATTAAAAAATTCTAACAAAGAAGTAATTCTGAATGCAGATCAAGTTTATTACAATCGACATGAAGATATATGGCATTGTAAATTTGCGCCTAATAATAGAGATCTCTTTAATGCTATTATTATGGCAAAGAAAAAATCTAATTCTGATCCACATTATTCTCAGGTTGTTACATTTGAAATTGAAGTGAATCATATTTCTACACCACCTGTAACATTTCCACAAACGTGGCAATTATTTCATGATTATAATCTTAAAATTAAAGCACCCAGAAATCGCTCAACAGCTAGATGGCTAGAAAATTCATCTTATACAGAAATTTTTATTCAAGCACCGGATAATATTGAATTGTCAGGTCGTATAGAATATCAGAATAGAAAAATAGAAAATGGTGCATTAGTACAATATGATTATGAAAGAGAACTTTGGCAACTTTTATTTGCACCTGAACAAACAGGTCAACATCAATTATTTATTTTTGCTAAACCAATAAATGATACTGATAAATTAGCTGCTGCAGTTGTTATGTTTTCACTGAATGTTACAAAACTTCAACAACCAATGAAATTTCCAATGACTTATGCAGCATTTCATACTACTAAATGTCGAATTTATACACCATTAAATGGCATATTAAAAAAAGATTCTCTTGTACCTATTCATTGTTGTATTCCTGGTGCAAAATCAGTTATATTAACGATTGGTTCTCAACCACTTCGAACTGAAGGTTATGTAGATCCGATTTTACAACGAGAAATAACTGTCGATTCCGAAGAAGTTATTATTCATGCAAAATATGGACGAAATCCACATTATACAAGTCTCATTAAATATTTTGTTGAATAATTTTGTTTTAATTTTTTTAATAAAATAAAAATGTTAATTTAAAAACAGAAAAAAAAAGGGAGGAAGATGAGATTAATTGAGAAAATGAAAATAAAATAGTTCTTTTTTTTAGAATCACCCATAAAAAGCAGAAAAAAAAATAAATATTATTGCGGAAATAAATCTGATTTGAACACGAAAGTTCATTTCAAATAAGTTGATGATGTTTGGGACGATTTGATAAATTATAATTTGGTTCACCATATAATATACGATGATGAACACTACGAATAAGCTCTGGAATAAAACGATAGACTGGATATTGAACAGGAATTCTTGAAAGTATAATATCTTCTTTTAAAAAATATCTATTCAATTAATAATGAAGAAAAGTAAAAGAAAAGATTTTTATAAAAAATTAAAATTTTATATAAAACATACTTAAAATCTTCTAGATATCGATCACGAATATATTCAGAAAACATTGTTGAATTAATTAATAACATGGATAATATAGAAAAAAATTGATAGACATATAATGCATGATTTGGACTAAATGGATCCTAGTAGATATGATATATTTATTTTAAAAAAAAACCAAATGAAATTGATTAAAATAACTATACTTTATTGTCTTTATTCATTATTAATCGTGATAATGCATCGATAAATAAATCAAAATATTCATCCTGAAATATATATATATATATATTCGATAAGACAAAAGTCATATATATTATAAGGAATAAAGAAACATGTTTGTAAGAGTTTGTGCTATTGACTATATAGTATTGATTATAGTTAAATAAATAGTTATAAATACAGCAAAATCGTTCTATGTTAGCTTCTCCTTATGCTGCTAAGACTATAGTGTGACTAAGCGAATTTAACTAGGAATGAGTCTGTCAAATATGAGGACTTCCTTATTCTGAATAGTAAGTCCTATAGCGTTCATTGGATTCAAAATTTGTAAATCCGTTTTATTGAATTGTTTTAGAACCCGATCGAACCGTAATTTGATGCTTTCAATGGAATTTTCTAATGAAAATTGGATAGTCACTGTGCAAATACGAGATACTTTTGCAGTTTTTTGTGTTCGTTGACTAGTGCACTCGACATATTTCTCAGACGACTAGAGCCCGCGATGTTAAAGCTTTGAAACGTGAGTTGACAGTTCTAGCGAGCCTTTATTTCTGATCCTATAAAACATAATAATATCTGTAAAGCAAACAACACATGCTCTATCACTCATGTTACAAAACGAAACAGGAAGAGTTTTTTGTGCATTGCATTATAATCAACAATCATGAGGCATATAGAAAAACCAAATATAATAGCCGTGGATATTTAAAAGACAAAACAATATTAAACAAAACTGCTTGGGAAAACATTTCATCATCTTTGTATTGACAGCTAATAACATCAAATCATGTCAACAGGTTTTGATTTATGCTTGATTAGAAAAAATGAATTAATAAATTGTTGGATTGAAGAAAAAAGATCACATCGTGCAACCAACAGACAATTGCAACTGATTAATTACAGATTGCAAAAAAAAAAAAGAACTGAAAACCTTATAGTCAAACGCACTTTTGGTTGATCTCTATGATATCTACTTTCGAGAGAATGTCCTATATTTATATCTGTCGAAATACAATAGATCCTAATTTCCCTATTGAAGGAAATACAATGAAATGTGGATAATTTTGGATTGAAATATTTGAATTATATACTCTATCATCTTCTTCCTTTTCTAGGCAAAAAGAACAAATTATATTATGATTATCTATCTAAAGCTGATTAGTAAAAATAAATATTTCTATTGAAAATTTACTTTTTGTTGTTGCTTTTCGAATAATTCAATAAAGTGTCGAAAACGAAAACTTTTTGATGTCCATGATGGTCGACTGAGCATATTTCCAATATGCCATAATACAGTACCTGATCCAAACATCCATTTTAATACTATTTTGTATGTGTTCTAAATTTAATTTTGTTTAAAGTGAAAGAACAACAATTTAGATAAAATATTAAGTTACTTGTAATCTTTCATTCACTTCTGAATCGTCGGATGCTGTTGTTGTCGTTGTTGGTTGAGTTGAGAGTAAAGTAATCGGAGGTGTCAAAAGACAGTGAATAAGTGTTTGAAGTCGAGCGCATCTGTAGAAAATAGTATTTTTTTTTAAAGCGTAGAACAAGAAAATTAAAAAAAATATATGAGAAAACATTTCTAAGTGTAAAATCGCTTTTCAATTGGTGTTCGGAAAAAAGTTTGGTCTATTAGCTTGTCCTTGTCAAAATGTTATATTTTTATGGTAGGTTTTCATGAGAATAGTTTATTGTGAAAATGTCAGATAATTTTACTTATCCTACCATAGATACAGTAATAGTACAAGCATATTATTCATGTCGCTCATATGCACCGACAGATTTCAATGTTCTCATTGAAAAACAACGGCAATGCAAAACAAACTAGAAACTTTCACAATAAATTAATCTCATTAAATATCAATTAAAGAATGATAAAATATTGTACTAATATAGATCAGTACTTCTACTGCCAGTATATAAAAAGAGAAACTTTCCTTGAGCTTTTTTTTTATAGGATAATAATGCCATTACCATTATGTTTGCTATGTCGTATATAATTCATGCGGAAAATGTGGAATTTCTATAGAAAAATCTTTCTTTACATGGTTCACCTAGTAGAATAATTTTTATAAATCCAATGAAAATTGAAGTTAATTGCTTTGAAGATGAATATGAATGTCTTTCTTACATTGGCATTGTAATAAAATATTTTTATATGAAAGAAAAAAACAACTTTTAAAGTATTGAGCAAATTAATTACATGCATAAGTCATTTAAAGAATAAATAGCTTACTCATCATGTGATAGACGTGATAGTCGTTCATTTGATGCAAAGGTGTTTAGAAAAATTTCATTTAATAATTGCAATATCGAACAAGAAAAACTAAATATTTCAATTAAATTATTCAAAATCAAATAGTAATAAATAGAATAAAGATATTTGTATCTTACTCAATTGTAGCATCATCAAAATCATTATTTGATATATCTTGGGAACAAGATTGAAATTGTGCAACATAGTAAGTAAATAAATCATGATCCTAAGAAATAATTTTAAAAAATTAAACACAAGAGAAAAAAAAACATATGATAACTAACCTTCCAAAAAAGGTCTTTTACTTTCGAATATTTCTCACATGCATTACATAGTTCAGTTGTTAATTTAATTAATTGATTTGTATTATTAAATGATTGTAAAATTTCATTTTTTAATTGAGAAAATTTTACCATTGTAATATCCATTCTACATAGAAATTTCTTTAAACGTTAAACAAAAAAAAATAAAATAAAACATACGAATCATGAAGACGATTATTTGATAATGTTGATGATTGATGATCACTCTTGTAATATAATGTTGAAATAACAATATAATTACTCAATGCACAACTTAAAATTTCTGGAATTTTGCACGTTAAACTTAGAAAATATATATCTATTTCTTTCATATCTTGATCAAGATCATCTCGAAGACTAAATAATAATAAAACAAAAGAAAATGAAAATAAATAAATATATAAAGATTTCAAATAGTTAATTAATTTATTTAAATATCTAAATAAACTACCAAACAGAAGACTATTTTCTAATCATCAATGAAATCATATATACATACTATTAGTTTATCTTTTTTTTTTTGTTTTGCTGAAAGCAAAATATTAAGCGATAATTGGGTATGATTCAATCATTAGATGGGTTCAAATCGAATATTTTTATTGTTAGAATTTTACCTGCGCACTTCTTCAACTGATGGACAGTAAACAGGTGAATCTTCATTATTAACAGCATTTATATTTATATTACTTGTCAATGATAAGTCTGTTAATGTTGATCGATTTGTTAATAATAACAATTCATCGTCTAGATTTTGACGTGGCGTACCACGTGGTGTACTACGTGGTGTATGTAAAGTACCATAGCGATCATCTTGATGTACTTGTAATGCATAACGACTAAGTCTTGGTGTGTCTGTATTCCAATCTGAATCATTATTTGTCTTTTTTTTCGACATCGTTAATGATTTAGCTGATTTTGATCTGACCATAATCCTGTGTTCATCAGAGAATGTTCTTTGTGTTGACAATAAACGTTGAACATTTGAACGATCAGTATTAAGATTTAATTCATCAAGACGTTCTTTAAATTCCAATGATGTATCATATGTTTTCGGTGTTGATAAATCATCAAGTCGATGAAGTGGTAAATTCAATGGATCGCTTTCATTTGTTGTTGTTGCTGTTAGAACAAATGGAATAACAGCAGAAAGTTGTGGTAATGGTGTTTGATAAAGTTCACGACTTGATGCTGTTCGTCTAAATATAAAATAAATAACTAAAGATACATCATAATACTAGAATTTATTGATATGAAAATTTGTAACTTATGTTGGTTCTCATAAATCTATGATCTTTATGGTTCAGTTATTATACTTAAAAATCCGATCATCTAAATACGATGTGTTGTTAATCGTTATTGAATAATTTATGAAATCGATTGAGTCGTGATTATGTAAAGAAGAAACATTTAATCGAAAGAAGATCTTTTAAAACTCTGTAAGAGAAAGTTTTTATTTTTATTGTTATATAAAAAACTAAAATTGTAAACATATTTTGTTGAGATCAAACAAATCTAGTATTGTACTTATTGAACTCGAATTTTTTGAATATGAACAAAGAAAATATTTTACCGTGGAGTTATTGGTTCCATATAATTATTAATATTTTCTAACGTAAATCGATCAAATAAACTTGGTACTGTTTCCATTTCGTCAACACTTGTTGATTTCGGTTTTTTCTTTTTATTTTTTTTATTCTTATTTGATGGCATCACAACACGTAAACGCATATGTAATGTATTCTTTTGTTCAACTCCAGCTAAAAAATCAGGATAATCGTCAATCTAAATATTCGAATAAAAGACTTTTTTTGTTTTATTTATTTAGTTTTTTAAACAAACCATTTCAGCACGAAGAATATCACGATAATAAATATATGGTTTTTCTAATTGTGCAATTTTTGGTGGATTATCGGGTAAATAAATTGATTCAAGACCCAAAACAATCAAACGATAATTAATACTATTTCCTTGCTTTTCTATACATGCATCATAACCGAGTAATTGATCACCAGGATTAGAAATTAAATATCGAGCTAATTTAGCTTCGAATTTCGTATTTTTTGTTACCATATATTGTGATGGACCTCCAGCTGCCTTCATTTTTTTTTTCTTTCTTGTGTAGATAGTATATGTTGAGGAGTAAAAAGAAAAAGAAAACTTTTAAACAGATAAGATTACTCTCGATGTCTAGGGAAAAACCGGAAAGTTGCCGGAAGGCGACATCGTCATCATGATATTGTATATGAATCTATCACGCGGGATTAAAAAAAAACAGAAAAGAAACCATTAAGCGTTTTGTTTCCTACGCTATACCTTCTTTAAACTTGTAATGCTTTTTTTATCATTGGTAAATATTAAACCAATCAAAAATTTTAACATGATAATTAATTAACTGAAAAAAACTAATTTTTTTAATAACTCGGAAACAGTTATTAGTGTAAACATGACCGGTAAACCTGAACTACAAGGAATATCAGTAGCTTCCTGAAAAAAGAATTTCGAGAAAGAATAGAAGCTTATTACTTCCCGAAATTTTTAATGCTTTCCTGTTTATACTAGCGAATCAAACTACTTAATCCAATATAACCAGGTCATATGATTAAGAGAGGAAAACAGGGTGATTTCCTCCTTCTTATTGTCTTTTGTATTCTGGCTTTTTTCCGTAGAAAGTTTCGGCTGTGGATAGACAACATTTTTAATCTTGTGATGGGACAGATTGAATACTTAAAAGCGAGTGTCTATTTCCAATTTGTTAAAAAGAAATTGAATCAGAATAGTTAAACGATGTGAAGAACAGCAATTCTATCCTTCCAACTGATTGTTACATCTGTAATGTTTTTCAAGAAAATAATAATTGTTTAAAGTTTTAGACAACTTTTTACATGAATGTTAAGGTGAAAACATAATAGTCAGTGAACAAAACGAAATGGCAAAAGACTTTGAATTTTTCCTCCATGAAAACTGTTAGGCTGATCTGAACCTTGTAATATACTGTCAAGTAATGTAATACTCTAGTTTTCATATATCATACCTTTGAAAAAAATTGAAGTTAAGCAACGATAGTTTTGCTACTGGAATGTCCACTATTGGAGATGGGAAGACAAAATAGACCTATTCAAAACTTTATTGATTATTCTAAACAGTTGAAGATGCGCTACCCATGGTCATAAACTAATACCTAAATATTATTATATGTAAATTTATTCTTTTTCTTTTAGCTTCTTTTTTTTGCAAAAAAACATATTATAAACTCATATTGATTTATTGCAAACTAAAGAAACAAAATAGATAGCATTCGAGTTTGAATCCACTGTGAAATGCAGTGTGATGCTACGCATATCGGTTATGACAAAAAAGCTTGATTTTATAAATAGAAAAAGAAAAGTCTTTTTTATTTATTTATTATGAATCGCTCTTTTCCTAATAATATTGATATTTTTCTAGAATTACACTTTGTTCAATATCCATTACTAAGAGACCTCTATTAAGAGTTATATGTTTCTCGTGAATACTGTTGATTGATCACTTGATTCTCTTTTTAATTTATTATTTAGCATCAACTGTATTTTACAGCTGTCTTACCTATAAGCAAAGAAAGTGGCGACTAAATTTTATTGCTGTCATTGCTTTAATTACTACCTTAAAGTATGAAAAACAAACTGAGTCCTCAAGAATTTTTTTAAGGTTCTACTTTTATTTTAACGGAACGCCTTCGAGAATATTGGAAAGCCATGGTAATGGTTCGGTCTCTACACTTTCACCTAGTGTTTAAACGAGTATTTTCTCAGTTTCCGTTCTCGAGATTATCACGATACAAAATGGCAACTTTCAATGCGTATGACAAGAAAATCATGAGGATCTACATAAAGGCTTTGTTTTGCATCGCATTAGATATCAAAGAAATAAACCAAAAGGTTAATTGACTTGCTGAAATAAATATTCAAATCTCAAATAGAAAAACCATTTTACAACTTTATGAGTTTGTATGCAATATTAAGAATTTTTTACAATGATTATGGATACGAGAATGTGGTTATTAGTTTATCCAGAAACTGAATAAGACACTCACATCCTCATTGAACCCTTATTAATGATGCATTTAACATATTCAATATGAAACATTTGTAATAGAAAAGAATTGAGTTTAATACAGATAGGCATGCACCGAACCCGAACGTTCGGGTTCGGTGTCAGAGTTCGGGTTCGGTCTTGACTGAAACTATTTTCAGTTTTTCAATAAAAGGAAATAGAAGTAAGTCAAAAGAAAGGGTTCCAGTGTTGATTGTGGTAGATCTCCATACAGTGAAGTAAATAGTTAAAAAAAACTGAAAGGCTGCAGACATCCGAAAAAGAAATTAATGATGTTTAGGTATACCCGAACCCGAACTTTTGGAGTGCTATCATTATTGTTCAAATACCTAAAAAAAAGCTTGGGCAATCATCTAAATAGTCACCACTGTCTGAACTGGTCGGATAGTTCTCGAACCCGAACCCGAGCCCGAACCCTGACACCGAATCCGAACCGTTCGGTCCGAACTCCGAGCTGTAGTTCGGGTTCGCTGCATGCCTAAATACAGAATTGTTGCTCAGATGACGATCGTTCGAGTGATGAGAATCGCAGCTCTCTATCTTGTTTCTATCAAAAGTTATTCAAAAAATGGCCACTCGACTTTTTTTCTGACAATATTTTATGATCGATATTTTTTAGAAATGCCTCACAATCGCATTCTTGAAAAAAGATTTACAATTCTAACACGCAAGTTTATTTTGAAAGGTATGTTTTTCATGCTGTCCAGATGTTTCAGATAAGATCGATAATGATTAGTTATTTTCAGTTATCCTATTTTCTTTATTGTCTAAAGAAATACAAAACTGAATATTGTGAAAAAAAAATATTTACAAGCCTTTGGCATCAAATACAGGAAGAGATTTTGATGTTTTCATAGCTAATGTTTGAGAGTTATTTTACATTGTGTCTACAAGATGGATGATATTTCTTGTGTATTATAGCTATGATCGTATAGGAACTATGTCACAATATCATATGTTAAACATGATGATAACATTTGCAAGTAAAAGAAAAAAGATTAAAAAAAAAAGAACAAGTTACCTAATCTCGGCTGTCAGAACGAAGCCCCATAACTTAACCTTTCGCTAATGTTCTCACTTGAGAACTTCATAATTGTCTTAGGATAAATCTGGATTCATCAATAAAGGATGACAAGAAAAACGATACTCTCGTGTGGTTTAAGATAATCGTTCATGTTCTATAAACATCTAGATACTCTTTTTTTTAACAATTGACATATGAGTTTTCATGACGAAACCATGAACATATGCAATATTGGAAACAAGATTGTTTGAAACTATTATTATAGAAGTTATGCAATATAACTGGAAAACTCATAGATATGATCACCTTAATCTAAGACGTTAGAGATACGTTGATATATTCCTATATATATAGAGCAGGACTGAGCAATATCTGTAAAAGAAAACGAAAATTGTTCCATTTCGACCCAAAATAAATTACCTTCCACAAAGTCAACAAGAAATTCTTTCTTAAAGTAATTGCATTCGTTACTTGAATCAGTTTGTATTAGAAGAAATGAAGCATTAACAAGATATAAAATGATTGAACTGTTTTCAGTCTGACGAGAGCAAAAATTAAGAAACAATTTCAACTGGAATTAAGGTATAAATAGAAGAACAGCAAATGAGACATATTTGTGGATTTCTTTTCTAGTTCTCCTTGATGTGTGCGACTTTTGTGTGAAATAATGCAACTCTAGAAATCAGTATCAATTCATCATCAACTGATACAATTGCCCGTTGCTCTTTGATTTAGTACATGTAAAAGAAAAACATTCAGATAATTTAAAGATACAGCAGATGAAAAGAATCTTACTCTGATTTTGACAGAAAAAAAGAGACTTACAAATTTAAGCCTCTCTGTAAAAAATAAGAATTTGTAGCAATTATAATGGACAAAAAAAACGAATATATTTGGAAAATAAGTGGCAAGAATCCTTTTTTTATCATTTATGAGAGGATCACAAATCCGCTGAGAAACTTTTCAGAGGGAATATTTAAGGATTCATGAGCATAGTAAACCTCTTCGAAACCCTTTGTTAAAGGATGGATGAATACACAATACCCAAGTATCGTATTTCAAAAGAATAAATGGAACCGTTTATGGCCTTCATCAATTGTCTCAAGGCTTTATGATAAGATATATAAAGAGGATTATAGACTTCATCAAGAACCTGAAAGATTTATTAACAGATATATGGAGGATTCTAACAGCAGCATTAATTGCATCGAAGAATTGTGGAAAGACTGAATGGAAGGTTCCATCGCCATTGTCAACGACTCCAAATACCTATGAAAGATGAATGCGAGAATCACCTATAATTTTGTATTATCTCTGGAAGAACATGACAGTTACATATCAGGCTTCATAGCTATCAGCTATAGGCTTTTAAGTTTCCAAAATGCTAAACGAAACTGTTATTAAAAAGGACCACTGCTTCTAAAACCTGATGCATCAATGGAATGTCTAGGCGGTAATCTCAAAGATCGAAGTATAGTTAATCAAAAAAGAAGTGAAACTAGCAAGTTCAATCTAATACTCTTAACAAATCCTTGAAGACAATAGGTAGAACAAAATTATTTGAATCAATTCTGCACAATAGCTGTTCGAAGACGATGAGAATTATAGAATGACGAGAAAAATAAACAATTAGAAGGAATAATTTTAACCAACTCCTCAAAATGCCTTCCGCATAAGACATCGACGGGACCACTTTTTTTGGCTCCGGTCTCATTAAATTTTATTGGTCGTATCTCAATCCTGATCTCAATTAAAATTTTTACTGCTTCCGATTCTAATTTCGTTTCTAGAAAAAAAATTTTCAATAATCTGTATAATTCTTTAAATGCACATCAAATTAACATTGATGATTTTGAGAAATTGATAGTATGAGCATATCTTTATATGCATGCATCAAAACTAAAATGTACAGCCACTTCTGTATCTCACTAAAGATTTTCTTTGATTCTGGTCATGTGACTTAAGAAATTCTCTCAGAGTTCACAGT